TTGAAAATGTGTGCAAAATTTGTATGGAATTGCATAAAAACGACAAATGGTGCAAATCGAAGCAGCAAAGAATGCTTAAGAATTCTTTATATCTTACGAATTAATTATTTATGTTATTTCCGTTTTAAAAAAATTATACCAATTAATGCATCAAAATGTTGTTTGTGTTATGTATCCTTATTAGGTTCAGTATTCACAAGTCGGCCAATCGTCGCCCGATCATCGAGCTCTGAGCAACAGTTTGATTTTCACCGTCGGCCGAAATTTTCAACAACCTTATCGTCCAACGACGGACGACCGACTTAATAAACTGACCACCGATGGTCGGACGATGATCCAAGGTTGGTCGACGGATAACTGTAATTGAAGAAATCGGCCACCGACGCATGAAAAATTATAACTTGGACCGATGGACACAAATTTGGTCGGCCGACTAAAAAAGAGGTTAAAATCGGGCAAGAACAACGGCCGATGAACTGCCGACTGTCACCCGAAGAATCCCATTTTTGCTTCAAAACCCGTCGGCCGTTGGTCGTTTTTGGAAATGTGACTTGGGTTTAACAGAGCATAACAGAGTTTTCTAAATATTTATGCAGCCTATTATTCAAGATACAAGTGAACAACTTCCTTCTTGTCATCCTGAAGGGTGCATATTATTTTCCCATCTTTCTGAAATGCAGATTTAACGTGGCTATGCTTCTTTACATACAGTAGTAACTTAAACTTCAACTGGGTTAATTCTTCAGAAATGAATACTTTCTCAAATTGTTCTTTTTTCCGAGATCGAACCGGTTACGAGGTAATTGATGTCTACATGTAGGTTCACGCTGTTCAAACCTTACTATGATTTGTTTAGTAGTAGTTTTCCCTGGACGTTTTTAGCCCAATCTATGGATGTCGTTGATGTTTTCCGGTTTAATGTTTACATTTATTGCCTCGCCTTTTTCTATCAATCTCTTTATCCAGTCTTCACCATGCTCCCCTCCATTTCCGGTACATTTGATATACGAATATTTTTTCGTCTAGAGTACTGGTTTTGAGAATCAGTACCATACGATAGTTTTCTCACCTCAACACTAAGTTTCATTATCACTGTTTCATGGACGTCAAGTTTGTCGTTTCTTCTCGCGGAAATCATTACTTCGAGAACCGGCATCATTAAAGAAATTACTTTCGCAGCTACCTTGTCTTCGCCAGAGGCTTCAGCGCCTCCTTGTTTCAGTCGAAATTTAGTCGAAAGATTGCCTTATATTGTAGGTTTCATTTTTCCTTACCATCTTCACTGAATGGTCTTTTTAAATTACGCCAAATTATAAATGCTAAATTCTTTCAGTGAAACAATGGTAGTTACTGTCCAAATAAAAGTGGATTACAATGGATTATCTGACAACAAATTTTGATTTCCTGTTCACATGCCATCACCGGAAGGCGTGAAAAACACAAGTTTTACCAAAATTTTAGAGTTATTTCTCTTTGTTTTCCCACATAAATAATGTTTTATGAAAATCCATACAATTATCTTTAAAAAAAATAACCAATTCCAAAATTGTAAATTTTATGGCCCCAGGGTCAGGGGTTCTGGTATTAGGGCGGGACTCTATTGATTATATAGTGAAAATGCATTAATTCTTTGAAAATCTTTTCCTTTGCTCCTGGGTTTTATGCCAATGATCCAAGTATATATTTGATTTATTTATATATTGATGATGAAGAAAGGTGCATCTAGCAAAGTGGTTATTTTATTTTTATGCCACCTGGGTCGGGGGGGGGGGGGGTACATAGTCTGAAAATAAATTAATGCTTTGAAATCTGCTCTTTAGTATTAATCAACCATTTTATGATAAAATTTGCAAAATTGTAAAGTATGTGGCCCCAGGGTCAGTGGTTCCCTTGGGGTGAGGTGCACAACTGGTTATAAAGTGGGGTAAAACACGAACCAATTTTAATTGTTTGAAAGTTGTTACAGGATACTCAGGTGACCTATAAGGCCCGTGGGCCTCTTGTATTAAGACGCCATCAGTGACTTTTCAGTGAAGGTTTGCAAATTTAGACATGTACTTACTATTTACGGCTGTTGAGCTTTGAGCAACGCCCCTTTGCTTTATAAGCCTCATCCGAAGAATCGGTCTCCATGTTCCACAGTTGGATCCAAACCCGCCATGCGGGCGACCTCCTATATATTTTAAAAGAAGAAAGTAAGAGCGATAGATGAAATTCTAATATAAACTATTGCTATAAAATAAATTAATATATATAACACAGGGTGTTACCGGTCGACAAGGTATGTTTATTCCCTCTTAATACTGCACCCCCCGTTGGAGTAGTAATTAACAAGATGCTGTTTTATACCAAGTTCACAATAGAATCCTGAGATTGACTTTGCCTTTTTAGCTCACCTGAGCCGAAGGCTGAAGTGAGCTTTTCTGATCAAAATTTGTCCGTTGTCTGTCGTCGTTAACTTTTCACATTTTCATCTTCTTCTCAAGAACCACAGGGCCAATTTCAACCAAACTTGCTACAAAGTATCCTTAGGTGAAGGGGATTCAAGTTTGTTCCACAAAGTATCCTTAGGTGAAGGGGATTCAAGTTTGTTCAAATGAAGGGCCACGCCCTCTTTCAAGGGGAGATAATTATGAATTAGTTAAAAATTAATGGCATTTTAAAAAAATCTTCTTCTCAAGAACCACTGGGCCAAGAAAGATGAAACTCATGTGGAATCATTCTCTGGTAGTGTAGATTCAAATTTCTTCAAATCATGACCCCCGGGGGTAGGGCGGGGCTACAATGGACTACCGAAGTTTTTCATAGAAATATATAGGAAAATTCTTTAAAAATCTTCTCAAGAATAGCAAAGCCATAATTGATCATAACGTAAATCTGGAAATTTTTGCTTAGATAAATTTTTAGCAAATTTGCGGGTACATCACATTCGCAAAAATATTTTTCTTAAAAATAATTGAACAATATGAAAATTTTAACAAATTAGTGGTCATTCGCAAAATTTTGAAACGTAAAAATTAATCAACAGCATTTTGACCCAGATTTGCAAAATAAAATCGACGTAAAAATTTCCAGATTTACGGTATTTATTGGGAAGCATCCTCAGGTAGTGTAGATTCAACTTTTTTCAAATCATGACCCCCAGGGGTAGGGCGGGGCCACAATGGCCGACCAAAGTTTTACATAGAAATAGATAGGAAAATTCTTTAAAAATCTTTTCAAGAATAGCAAAGCCATAATTGATCATATTTATATAGAAGCGTCCTCAGGTAGTGTAGATTCAAATTTGTTCAAATCATGACCCCCGGGGGAAGGGCGGGGCCAAAATGGCCGATCAAATTTTTACATAGAAATACATAGGAATATTTGAAAAAATCTTTTTCTCAAGAATAGCAAAGCCATAATTGGTCATGGGACTTCTTTTGGATTTAAACTTTTCAATAATAAACCAATTTCTACTTTTTCCTAGCCACAGTGCTCAGGTGAGCGATGTGGCCCATGGGCCTCTTGTTCTTCATTTCACAAAATTTTTAGATCACCTGAGCTGAAAGCTCAAGTGAGCTTTTCTGATCACCCGTTGTCCGTCCGTCTGTCTGTCCGTCAACTTTTCACATTTTCAACTTCTCAAGAACCACAGGGCCCATTTTAACCAAACTTGGTACAAAGCATCCTTGGGTGAAAGACATTTTAAATTGTTAAAATGAAGGGCCACATCCCCTTCCAAGAGGAGATAATCAAGAAAAGAGTGGGGTCATTAAAATCTCCTCAACAACCACTGGGCCAGAAAAGTTAAACTTATGTGGAAACATCCTGGGGTTGTACATTTTGTAGATTAAAAATTGTTAAAATCAAGCCAAAAAATCCTAGGACCAGAAAAGCTAAAACTTAGGCTTAAAAAAAAATAAGTTTGTTTCCTGTAACATTCCCAAAAAATCAAGGGTCGGTAGGTCGGAAATTCTTTTTTTTTTTTGTTTTTTTGTTTTTTGTTTTTGTTTTTGCTGATGAATGGTCAAACATCCCCGGACCGAAAATACCAGGTGTTATATTTACAGTGGACACCCAACATGGCATCCAAAATGGCTGCCAAGCGGCAGAAAACCAACTTCAGAAAGTTGTAGGGGGAAACTGTTGTTACAATAATGATTACTCTTTATATTTAAGGTAAATTTACACTAAGTTGACATATTTTATGTCTCAAATTAAGCTACAAGCTATTTTTTTTTAGTTTAATAAATGGAATCAGCTGATTGATCAAACGAAGTTTTGCCATTTGTCAGAAAAAAAAAAATCCACCCGGGGATAATTTGAATGGGTCGGTCGGGTTACAGGAAACAAACATATTTTTTTTAGGCCTTATGTGTAAGCATTCTGGGGTAGTTTGGATTCTAATTAATTTTATAAAATTCATGGCCGGCGGGGCCACAAAAGGGAACCAAATTCTTACACAGAAATATATATTAAAAAACTTTTTAAAAATCTTCAAACCATGGCCTTATGGGGTACTTGACAAATCTTCTTCTCAAGAACCACTGAACCAGAAAAGCTAAAATCTTCCTCTTAAGAACCACTGGGCCAGAAATGCTGAAACTTTTGTGAAAACATCCTCGGGTAGTGTAGATTCTAAATTGTTTAAATCATGGCTCCCGGGGATAGGGTGGGGCCACAATAGGGAGTTTTACATTGATATTTGTAGGAAAATCTTTTAAAAATCTAATACTCAAGAATCAATGGCCCAAAAAAGCTGAAACATATGTAAGTATTCTGGGGGTAGTGTAGATTCTATATTATTAAAAGCACGGTCCCCGGGGGTAGGGCGGGGCCACAATAGGAAATCTAAGTGTCAAAGAGTGTATTTATTAAAAGATAAGATTAGGTAAGGAACAGCATGGTCAGTTACTCAGGTGAGCGATGTGACCCATGAGCCTCTTATTTAAGTAACCGTCAGGATGTTGCCTCTCATTATATATTCAATACTTATTGCATTAATTGAACCATTTCAGAATTTGGAAACAAAGGCCTTTGTATACCAATCTCCCATGCAAAACTAAAGAATGCCACTATTCATTTGATAGACGTAAGTATTTTGAATGGCGTGAAGTGTGTAAGTCTGAAATTTGACATTTCTTAAGTTGCTACAAGCACGTCTTTATAAAATCTTTTCATTAAAACGATTTTATTTTGGCACTACCTCACTTGTCTGAATTTGATTATTGTAAATTTTTATTTCAACAGAATGCAATCGTTATTGGAAGTGATGTAGAGTATGGTAATGATACTTATTGTACTCCCTCTTTCTTTTAAATGTATAAAAATTAAGTGTACATTACTATCATCAAAAAGTCTGATATAGAATACTGTATTTACATACATGTACAATTATGGGTGTATATATTTTATAATATCGTAATCAGTCTTCAAATGTATTATTTGCTTATTGCTTAGTATGCTATTTTCCTTTCAACATTGTTAAATATAGTATATCATCTTTAAATTATTATATAAACCATAACTATTTGTACATCTTTTCGTTTGCATTGTCTAGAATGCACTATTATGTATTTAGAGTATGACGAACAAGTACTTAAAAATAAGAGATTTAGTGTAGATTTACGTGACATTTATTATTTGCGTTCAGATAAAAATGTACTGTGTCTGTTATTAAAATCCAAGTCGGAAATAAAATCTGTTATTCTTTTAATGATTTACAGTTAAGTCCTATCTTTATATAAAGTAACAAAACAAACAGATCTTTTTAATTTTAGTTTTGAACTTATCAAAAATACGCCATATACGACTTCAACAGTTTAGTAATGAATAAATTATAATAGCATAATTTATATGAAAACATGTATATAGTGCAATTAGAATTCGATTTTTTTTTGCTGGGAGAGACTTTATAAATAAACATGTATGAAAAATCTTACTTCATAATATTATACTCAATGATTTTCAATGTTCTAAGTTTCAAATATTGTTTAGATATGTACTATTTTCGGGGTTTTAGCATTTAGTTTATGATATAATAAATAAAAATTATCATGAATTTTACATTTCTGTTTGCATTGGTTACAGGTATGATTGATAATAAAATTAGCAAAGTAAAGATAGTCCAATTATATTTTTATGATGAACAAATATACCGACGCGCACAATAATGCACTCCGCAATTACCTTCACAGTGAACATTATCTGATCTTTAAAAAAATACTTATATTAAATCTCGTGTCTGGTGAATGTCCCTTCTGATGATTTTGTGAAGACAGATTTGAATTGAATTGGGTAGTATTTTTGCCTTCCCTTTTTTGAGTTCACCTGAGTAAACTCAGGTGACCTATTGCTATCTGTTTTCGTCCGTCGTCGTGCGTCGTGCGTTAACATTTGAACATTTTCAGCTTCTTCTCTGCAACCACTGAACCAATTTCAACCAAATTTGGCACAAAGCATCTATGGGTGAAGGGAAACAAAAATTGTGAATTTCATGATCCCTGCCCCCCTGGGGCCTGAGGGGTGGGGCCAAAACCACTAAAATTAATGCAATCTTTAAAAATCTTCTTTACTACTGGACATCAAGCAGTCAAACTGTTTGCATGATTGTAATCAGTAATGAGTCCTCTACCAAAATTGTGAAATTCATGGCCCAGCTGGGGTCAGGGGTTCTAGTGCTAGGGCGGGGCTAAATAAGTAGGTAGTGAAAATGCATTATTTCTTTGAAAATCTTCTTCTCTGCTCCTGGGTATTAAATAAACCAACTAAGTACATAGTTATGATGAGCAAGAGTGCCTCTACCAAAATTGTGAATTTTATGGCCCCAGGGTCAGGGGTTCTGGTGTTAGGGCGGGGCTCTATTGATTATATAGTGAAAATACATGAATTCTTTGAAAATCTTCTTCTCTGCTCCTGGGTATTAAATAAACTAACTAAGTACATAGTTATGATGAGCAAAAGTGCCTCTACCAAAATTGTGAATTTTATGGTCCCAGGGTCAGGGGTTCTTGTTTTAGGGTGGGGCTCTAATGATTATATAGTGAAATGCATGAATTCTTTGAACATCTTATCCTTTGCTCCTGGTTAATATACTAATGATCTAATTACATATTTAAGGCCAGGATTTATTTTATTTTCAGTTTTAAGAAACTCCGCTCAAAGGTTTGAATTTTCAGAAAAAAATAAAACAATTTTTTTCTCTCCGATGTCAAATTTGAGTCGGGATCGAGCTTTCAAATTTACGAACTCGCACTTCCGGTTTTAAGATGAAACGGCGGGTAAATAAAGCTAGATCTGAGAATACAGCTTGTTTTAGTGTAAAATTCATCGATACGAGTGCCATTCAAAACGTTTCACCCGTTCAAAGGACAATTAAAATGCTGACGACTTTGCTGCACAATGACATGCTGGTGAGATAATTATGTATTCGTTTCAAAAGTATCTGTCTGCAAATTATTTTCCTCCCCTAGGTTTTAAACTGCCCGTGGTAGCTATTGCATATTGCCAGCGACATTGTTACAGTTTAGGTCTCAGTTATAGCTTACAGTCTAAGCATCATTCTTCCGAAACGGGTTGCTTATGCATCAGATGTAATGAGTAAAACTATGGGAGAAGTTAAGTCCATTTGAGGAAGAAATAAACAATAACCTGAAGAAATAAAAAAAATTTCAAGTATTAAAAGGCGGCAAGAATATACAAATATATACAGGCATGTAGTATCATTTATATCAGCCAGAAAAATTATTTTACACTTAATTGAAAAAATGTTCACCTTACTTCCCAATACTCCCTGTCTGTTTTATAATAGGAATTATAAAATTTTAGGCATCAAGTAAATTTTAGAACAATGTCTACACATTCACCTAACACATATTTAAAAAATGAAGATATATTGAAAGACTTTTAAAGAATTGATTTTTTAAAATATATTTTGACCAACATCACAAAATTTATATAACTGGCCCAAACTGGCAGATGATGAAATAAGCAATTAAATGTTCTACTTTCCTATTTGTAAGCATTATGTGTCCAGTGGTAAGGAGCCTATTAGAATAGCATAAAAAAAGAATGTACATGCTTGCCTTATAATGAGGAAAAGGGTCTCTTTCAAAATAGATAATTTCAGGGCCGCTGGGTCAGGGGTACCAGGGGGTACTTGGACGAAAAATAAATCAATGCTTTGAAATCTGCCCTTTGATAAGCAATGGTGCCTTCTTCAAAATTTGTGAATTTCATGGCTTTTGGATTAAAACACGAACCAAATACAATCGCTGGAAAGTTGTTACATGATACTCAGGTGACCTATAAGGCCCGTGGGCCTCTTGTTTTTTTTAAGAGTTGTTCGTTTTTAGCTGTTCTGGTTTAAGACAGGAAAAGCTTAGTAATCGCGATGGTAAGGTTTCCATTGTCCGTTCATCCGTCTGTAAACATTTTTTTTTTCGAAATTCTAATCCTCCTACACTTTTGTTCTGGTTTCAATAATATGTTTAACGGTGTGACCGTTGGGGCGAGCGCAGTTGTACCATCAAAAACACATGAAGAATTGATCAGCCACTTCAAACATCAAGCCGCACGAGACATCTCGACTGTCTGGTTGAAACTATAGAACTAGTGCATTTGGTCGAAAAACATTGCAGAGTTAATTTTTGTTTCTTTGAAAGATTTCTACAAACTGAAAGCCTTTTATGCTTTACGTCATTATTTATTTATTCGCGCAAAGGGCATTGGGTAGTATAGGAATTCTGGGAATGTTTCACAAAAAAATTGCCTGACGTATGTACAGATTTTATTCCGAATTTCCTCTGTTCTTACATGTTAGTCTACTGAGCTCGCTATTAATTGCTTTTGCATATTGTTTAGTGTAAATGCTATTTTTGTTTTCCACTATTAAAATACATGCCAGTGGAACCAGTCTCGGCCAAAATGGCCGACCCAAGTTTTAAATAGGAATATATAGGAAAAATCTTTAAAAATCTTCTTCTCCAGAACCACTGGGCCAGGAAAGATGAAACTCATGTGGAATCATCCTCAGGTAGTGTAGATTCACGTTTGTTCAAATCATGACCCCCGGGGCTAGGGTGGGGCCAAAATGGCCAACCCAAGTTTTACATAGGGATATATAGGGAAACCTTTTAAAATCTTCTTTTCAAGTACTTCAAAGCTATGATTAGTGATATTTATATGGAATCATCCTCAGGTAGTGTAGATTCTAATTTGTTCAAATGATGAACGCCTGGAGGGGGGGGGGGATAAATTCAAGCCCGATGTGCTCAGGTGAGCGCTGTGGCCCCTGGGCCTCTTGTTGTTCAAGTCCTATGTCAGCTTCCTGTTAATCCGTGCGTCTGTCCATACCAAAATTCCGTCGAAGTTTTCTCAAAACTCCACATCGCAATAGTATGAAATTTTAGCACACTTACAGTGTACATGTATTTTGAATATGAAGGGATTCATTTCTATACGGATTTAATATCAAAATTAGAGGCTATGTTCAAATCAGAGCAGGAGTTTTTAGTGTCAAGAGCATTTGCTCCCAGACATCTTTGTGATTCGCTCTGTAGTTTTAGGTCACCTGTGTCACTCGAGGGACCTATTGCTATCTGTTTTCATCCGTTAGTAACTTTAAATCATTTGTAGCTGCTTCTCTGGAACCACTGAAACAGTTTCATCTAAAATTGGCATATAGCATATATGGGTGAAGGGAACAAACAAATTGTAAATATCATGCCCTCCCCCGGGGGGCCTGAGGGGGTGGGGCAAAAGTGCTAAAATGAATCCAATCTTTAAAAATCTTCTTTACTGCTGGACATAAGCAGTCAGATTGTTGGCATGATAGTAATAAGCGTTGAGTCCTTTACCAAAATTGTGAAATTCATGGCCCCAGGGTCAGGGGTTGTGCTAGGGCTGGGTTATACAGATTATATAATGAAAATGCATTATTTCTTTGAAAATCTTCTTCTCTGCTCCTGGGTATTAAACAAGCAAACTTAATGCAAAGTTATGATGAGCATGGGTGTCTGCCAAATTTGTGAATTTCATCACCCCAGGAATTATTTTAAAAATCTTCTCTTCTGGTCTTGGGTAATAAGACTATAACCTAAGTACATACTTTTGATGGGGAAGAGAGTCTCTTCCAAAATTGATAATTTCATCATGTTCATGGCCCCTGGGTCAGGTGTTCCGGGGAGGATATTATCATATTATATACTGAAAGTAAATTAATGCTTTGAAAATCTTCTCGATCTTCTGCTCCTTGGTATTAATAAAACACTCAATACATAGTTATGACGAGAAAGGGTGCCTCTTCAAAAATTGTGAATATAATCGCTCCTTGTCAGGGGTTGTTGCACATGGATGCACAGGCCTGAAGTATGGATACCCCCCCCCCTTTTTAATGAAAAATATATATAGAGAGAATAATACATA